AAATCCAGCCACATCCACTTCCTCGTGCAAGGGAGGAAGCAGAGATAATTGGTAAGCTACTCCAAGTTCAACCTTTGCTAGGAGAAAAGGCAACCAAGCAGGCGGTTATTCAAAACATTAATTCTGTCAGCCTTATTCATTTCGCTTGTCATGGTGACGAAAAACTTGGAGAAATCATTCTTGTTCCTCTACACCCTGTTTATTCGAAATCAGGAGAAGAGAAAAAACCAAGAGAAGAAGAGATACCGAGAGAGGAAGACTACATATTGACAATGGCCGACATCTCACAAGTTCGACTTCAAGCAAAATTGGTTGTCCTTAGCTGTTGCCACAGTGCAAGTGGACACGTCAGTGCCGAGGGAGTTGTTGGAATTGCTCATGCGTTCCTGGGATCTGGTGCACGTTCAGTGTTGGTGGCATTGTGGGCCATAGACGACGAAGCAACAAAACAGTTCATGAGTCGTTTCTACGAGCACCTTGTTAGTGGGGAAAGTGCCAGTGAATCTCTTCACCAGGCCATGAAGTGGATGAGAGAAAACGGCTCCTCTGACATTAGGAAATGGGCGCCATTTATGCTGATTGGAGATAACGAAACACTTGATTTCAGAAAATAAGGGTAAGAAAGGATTGAGCTTTTCAGTTTATTTTTAGCGATGCATTTACGGCGTAGCTCCGAAGGAAAAGCTAAAAAAGCGTAGCTTTGTTGCTTGCGTTTTTGTTTATTGCTCATTGTGAACCACCATAGATCTCTTAATCCGAAGCAAACCTTACTTTTTTTCTGAGTGTATTCTTAATACTTGTGTGTTTATCCACTTGTCGTCGCGTAGCAAAGAAAAACTAGGGTGAAAAAAATCTAATTCCGGTAGACGAGAGAGAAGGGACCAGGACGCTAACAGTTGCTATAACAACTGACATAACTCTTTACGCCCTATTCCTTTTTCAGAAGGTGGCTGACAAGCTTGATGAGCTTACATTCAGAAACCGGTGAGAAGCTTGAAACATCTCTTAGACTGTTTGCAGTCCCCTATTTTTCGTAACACCAGCATTGCCGCGCTCCAGCGCTTAGTATAACAGGCAGCCATCTTGGCTTCAAACATACCAAGGAAGGGTGTGTGTGTGTGTCTGTGGTTCTGTGTATGGATGGGGGGTGGGGAGAAGCAGTCTAAAATAGTGGTTTTGTTTCTCTTGTAGGTGTTGTGTCTAGCCTGAGAAATAAATCATGGAATTTATCATTAACCAAGCTTGAGGCGTTTGAGAAAACATTTCATAACAAACCGATTCATGTACAGCTGTATATATCTAACGGAATTTTTTTAAAGCCAACCTAACGAAATATGCAGTCATGCAAGTGAAAAGGCGTCAAAAGGCAGACGTTTCTTAAGGCCGAGAAGCTCCAAGACCACAGTAACGAAGGAAAAGGAGGGAGAAAAAGAAAGAGTGAGGAAAAGGAAAGGAGGGAGAGAGAAAAAAGCAATGGTTTCACTCTTCGTTTTTATAATAGCTACTTTGGAGATAGTTTTTGCCCGAAAATAACTGTTGGACGCAGAAAGGTCCATTTTTTGATAACGTAACGTTTTAAAAAATCTGGCTAGATATATAAAAATATTAAATAATTCGTATATGCTGTGGTTAATTTTTTATATTAGGTAATTTTCGTTTTTCTTTTGTTTTTTGGTATGGTAATGTATGTCAATGAAAGTGAAACAAAAGAAAAAGCCAAGAAAAATTACCTGAGATAAAAAATTAACAACAACATACATATATCAATAAGTTAGTGTGTAGCTATTGACCGTCAGTGTAGTGTGTGCTCAATCTGACGGGAAATTAGGGACTCATAGGCTATGTTTACACTATATCGGAATGCTTTTTGTCACGCCACAAAAAAAGCTATCTGGAGTATTATAAACAGCAACGACCCAGGGAGGCGCAAGTCGTTCACACGCATCGAACATCGCGCCAGCGCGATTGGCCGAGAGGGTTTGGTGCGCTCAATTCCAGTCCTTACTCCTGAATATTTGCTTCCTCTCAGAGGGTTCCAGGCCTCGCTCCTACATACTTAATTACTTCCTCGACGGTCCGAGTGGGTGTTCACACTTCACCAGTGTATGACTCCAAACCTATCTGATATTTGACGCTCCACTTTCAAGATCGGCGCGGCGCAGCTTTTCTACGTCACAGAAATCGCGCCGCCACAACCGTTCTTGTGTGCGAACAGAGGCCCTATCGGATATGATTTTCGTGGCGGCGCCAAAGCTATCCGGTAAAATGTGAACATAGCCTTAAAGCACCTCTTGGCTATAACCAGAGACGGAGTTATCAAAGATACGAAATGATTGAGTACGGATTCTATATCTCGAGTTTTATTTTTGCGTTTCCTTTTTGCTTGATTTTTCTTCATTTTTTATAGTAAAAAATTCTTCAGAAAAGAAAAACACATTTATATTGCGTGGAAATGATATGAATAAGTTATGATACAGTTCTCACCCATCAGGGTGAATAGTATAATCGTAATCATACTATAAGTTTTGAATTAGTAGATTTCTTTCTTGTTATAATATTACTTTAAGTATAATGAAAACATTGTAGTAGTGGCCTTTTTTGATGAAGTTGGAGCAACGTGGTTAATTAGGACTTATCGTCTTATTACGACACTGTTATATAAATAGAGGATATTACACGGTGGCGCGAAGATATGAATTTTATTTTCGAGTGGCAAAACAATAGTGAGTAAAATATTGTTTTTGCCACGAGAAAATAAAATTCATATCTTCAAGCCGCCGTGTAATGTTCTTTTTATTATATAGACAAAAAGACATCGATAAAATAATAGAGGGAAATTACCGAAATTACGTCATCGATAAACTCACGTGTGAGATTATGGAAACTAAACCAGTCGGGTCCCGGATATAGTTTTTATGAATTTTACGAGTGGTACATTTTCCAGTAAAACACTCTTGTCTATATAATTATATAGACTCGAGTGTTTTACTGGACAATATACCACTCGTAAAATTCATAAAAACTATATCCGGGACCCGAGTGGTATATTTTCCATAAGCTATATATTAACTGTACAGTAAACCTTATATTTGTCTTGAATTTCGCTCAGTGATAAAGTTATGTTCAAATCTTTTTTGTTAATTAATTGAAGAGTAAGAACGTTTTATAGAAAGAGTAGGGGTAACACATGGAGATATGAAGCTTTAATTTGTAATTTGATGATTGAGAACGTTTTTGAGTAATTCACTAGTGTTTGGAATAAATTTAGTAGATTGTTTTCAATAACAAGAAGATGTGACTATTATATTTGTAAGATTGTAATAACAATTAAAGTTTTCACTGCTTTCATTTTTTCCTTTGCTTCAAATTTTACGAAACTCGCAAGAAAAGTAAGGGGAACGAACACAAAATCTGAAAACTATGGAATGGCACGATTTTGCATTTTTCTCTTTGAGCTTGCAGTAGTTAGATTGAGTCGGGAGATCTTAACTCTAGTATGGCCTCACGAAATCAGAACCACAGCTGTTAAAAGAGTTTAAGTTAAATGAAATAATTAGCTTCATAGTAAATAACATCATGAACATGAGTTTTAGCTCTACCTCGCCAAAACGGGAGAGTGAAATGTTTTTCGTACATAGGTAGCTGGCGGCTCCTTCCTTCAAGGTGTTTGTAAACAATCTTGAAATTTGATTTAATTTTTTATTAATTTATTTTTTAACTTTTTTCACAAGAATCGACATCGTTTTGATGAAGACGAACTTAACGGTACGGCTAGAAAATAGAAAAATCGGCGAACCGACGAGTTCCCCTGTCTATATCAAACTGACGTCAACTTTTGGGTTATTTTTGCAATAGCAGTTCAGCTTATATTTAAAAAAATGATAAATTTTCAAATAGTAAGATATTACGCTTCAAAATAAGAAAGGAAAAAAATCAGTAGTTATTTTAAAAAATAAATCGTTTCGCCGTTACCCTGTTCAGAAGCGTTTTTTCTAGCAACCTCGTCTTTTCTAGCTTTGACTCAGTATAACTGAACGATTTGTCTGGTTGTTTGTTTTGTCTAATACATATCACTTCAAATTTAATCTTTGGTCCTCCACTTTTCAATTACCTCTTTTATATTTAGAAAGACTGTCTTGTAGCGGCGGCGCTAAAACGGTGTACGACAAGCAGATAAACAACGCTACTGATTGCGTCAACACTCACTGCTCACCTTACACTGAATTTAAATCTTCATAAATGACTCAGGGTATATTCAGGTTTTGAAAGAGCGTGTTGTGACGGAGGTGGTTACGCCACAACATGGTTCTTTTTTGTGGGGGGGGGGCAAGGGTGGGAGTTTAGAAGACAAAGACACACACAGGTTTTTTCTCCAGCTCGTCGAATGAAGGTTTTTAAGAAAACCCTCTTCTATTAGTAAGGCTCATTTTATCTGTATTAACAGTGCTTTGTTCTTAAGTTTAGAGCGAGTTAGTAAAGCCGAAAGACCAATAATATAGTTTTTTACATTAATGACACTTTTGCCAACAAAAAAAATGTATGGCTGAGAAATTGAAATCGCTTTCTGCGATGCTGATCAAGCGTGGTCAATATGTTTCAACATCATCCATCGGGACCCGGAAAAAAAAGGTGGATGACAGTAAAAGTTTGAACCAGTTAAAACTTGATCGAACAAATCCTATGACCCCTCATTTGCATAATATCGTCATTTTACTATTACTGCGCCAGAGTCCATTTCGTTTTCCTTTCATATTTAAATTTAGTGATCTCAACGAGGTGTAAATAACAAAAGCCCTGCTAATTTGCACAAGAAAGCAAAACCCTCAAAGATCTTCGTAGTAAGTATACTGACATCATCGTGATCATGGCCTATTTTTATGAAGTTAGACCGACATGCTGGATCAAGACTTTTTATATAATCAAGTGTGTTTATTCCAGAAAACCGTCTCATCCCTAAACTTTAATTTAAAAACGAAATTAAACCCTGCACACTTTTCGGAATGATACATTGGAGAAGAGCGATTCTCTTTCCGTTTGATTACATCAAGGTGAATTTTGTTTCTTTAAAAACATGCGGTTTCTGATTGAAAGGTAAAACAGGAATATTCCGTACCCTTTTTTATTTCAGCAAAACGCCATAAAACATGTTTTCTAAATTCAAATATCCTAACTGCCTAATGTCCTAAGATTTTTCCGGTTTAATTGGAATGACACATTTTACTTTCAGAAGGATGGCATAGGCTAATTATCATCTTATTGCATCACGACGTTTTGATCACGTGACTATATCCCAAGACCATATATTCACTTGAAGGGCCTTCCGCATCATCAAATAAAGGTGTGATTTAGAGAGACAAGTGAATTCAAACGTCATTTTTTCATCGCGAATTCAGGTAGGCTAAATAATCGACTTTGCTAACTGCTGTTATTCTAGATTGCTTATTCATTCAATTATGTAAATTACGGAGGGTGTTTTCCCCCTCTGCCGATAACACCCTCCTCGATCTGCATAATTCTTCAGATTATAAGAAAGCCGAATTCAATAATTTCTAAATATTCTTTTTATTTATTTTATTTTTTATTAAAGCTGTATTTGTTGAGCATAATGGTCCAATTGACCCTAACACTGGTTGTCACCCTTTGCTGCTTCCTGGCGATCTCAGAATGCTTGATCAAAGATAAAGAGTGGGAGGAATGGCAACAGCTCCACAACAAGAAATACCAATCAGATGAGGAGGAGAGATTTCCCTACACCATTTGGATTGACAACCGCAAAATGATTGAAAGACACAAATCAGATAAAAACAGCACTTTCAAGGTGGAAATGAACCAATTTGGAGACATGGTGCTCTTTTTGAAATGGTTATCAAAACCTGCCTTCTAGCTCACCTCAACCCTACTATTTCCCGATTATCCCTGCAGTCTTATCCCCTGTCATCTGTCGTTAAATTTTTCCTGGTTATTTTCTGTCATTTATTTTGTACTCTTACACCCACCTCAAAATTAGAATTTAGGGTTAAAGGACAAANGAAGGATGGCATAGGCTAATTATCATCTTATTGCATCACGACGTTTTGATCACGTGACTATATCCCAAGACCATATATTCACTTGAAGGGCCTTCCGCATCATCAAATAAAGGTGTGATTTAGAGAGACAAGTGAATTCAAACGTCATTTTTTCATCGCGAATTCAGGTAGGCTAAATAATCGACTTTGCTAACTGCTGTTATTCTAGATTGCTTATTCATTCAATTATGTAAATTACGGAGGGTGTTTTCCCCCTCTGCCGATAACACCCTCCTCGATCTGCATAATTCTTCAGATTATAAGAAAGCCGAATTCAATAATTTCTAAATATTCTTTTTATTTATTTTATTTTTTATTAAAGCTGTATTTGTTGAGCATAATGGTCCAATTGACCCTAACACTGGTTGTCACCCTTTGCTGCTTCCTGGCGATCTCAGAATGCTTGATCAAAGATAAAGAGTGGGAGGAATGGCAACAGCTCCACAACAAGAAATACCAATCAGATGAGGAGGAGAGATTTCCCTACACCATTTGGATTGACAACCGCAAAATGATTGAAAGACACAAATCAGATAAAAATAGCACTTTCAAGGTGGAAATGAACCAATTTGGAGACATGGTGCTCTTTTTGAAATGGTTATCAAAACCTGCCTTCTAGCTCACCTCAACCCTACTATTTCCCGATTATCCCTGCAGTCTTATCCCCTGTCATCTGTCGTTAAATTTTTCCTGGTTATTTTCTGTCATTTATTTTGTACTCTTACACCCACCTCAAAATTAGAATTTAGGGTTAAAGGACAAACGATGATAATCAGAACTTAGACATAAATAATCGGCCACTGTTTAGACGGTGCATTTACCTACTAATAAGGCTCGCTTCGCTCGCGGGATAATCAGAAAAATACTATGGTTGAGGTGAGCTGGAAGTCAGGTTTTGATAACTACTCAGAAATAATGTAGCAATCTAAATCCAGAGTCAGAAAAACAAAATTGATTGTTTTAAAAAAGATAAAGATTTCGTATATTTATAAAAAGATGCCATTTAATTACTACGCAATGGAAAGTAATGCTAAAGATGAAGAAAAACGATATAATTTATTAACTTATAACTTGCCTTATACAGATAAAAGTATCAATAAAGCATTTGATGAATATTTTGAGAGAAAACTTAATGAAAAATGTATGGTTATCCATTTATAGAAATAGAAGTTCTTAAAAATAATAATGGAGAGTATTTACTTTATGACCCAGATGAATCAAGATTTGTTAAAGATACAATTGCTGGTATTCCTGATGCGGTTGGTTGGCCACACTGAATTTTAACACGGATTGGGTTAAGAAAATTGTTATTAAACGAGATAAATCTGATGTAGAAACAACATTGGATACATTTTTAAAGAAATCTTTATATAAAAAATATCAAATATTAAAATCATTGAAATATTATTTGGACAATGTTAGTCGTTATGTTGAAATTAATTATGATTAAAACGTTTAGTCTTATATAATTGTTTTGATATAAGACTTTATATACAGAATTGATTTTTTTAAAAATGAGGCTTAAAGAAAATGTAACCATAGTATAAGAAGCATGAGCTCTCTAAATTTAAACAACTTATCTATAAAAGAGTTACAAAATATTGTTAAAAAAGAATATAATGAAAAAAAAATTAAGGAAAGATAAAAAGAAAGAGAAACTTATAGCAGTACATCAAAAGCTACAAAAGCAAAATGAAAAATTGCGACAAGAAAAACCTAAAATAAAATCTAAACCGGAAAATAAACCTAAAGCAAAATCTACAATTAAAATACAATTAAAATGTGCTCATGCCCCCTGGGCATCCTATAACACTCCTTAAATCGAACTAATTCAATATGGCCGCCGTATCGGTAAAAGGTCTATTAGTTATCTAGTAGTTAAAAAAATCAAAAACTTGTAATATTGTAAATTATTAACATTTAACAAAAATTAGTAACATTGTTAATTATTAATTATGATTAAAAATTAATTTTTAATCATTACCCACACCCACGACTTTTTGCCCACACCCACGACCCACGACCCACGACCCACGACCATTAGACAAACTCGCGACCCACGACCATTAGACAAACTCGGTGATAATCCTCTCTAGGGGCTGATAACCCCCCAGGATTGTGAGAGAGGATAATCCTCTGTAGGGGGTGATAATCCCCCAGGTTAGTGAGAGGTGATAATCCTCTCTAGGGGGTGATAATCCCCCAGGATAGAGAAAGGTGATAATTCTCTCTAGAGGTTGTGGGTTAAGAAAATTGTTATTAAACGAGATAAATCTGATGTAGAAACAACATTGGATACATTTTTAAAGAAATCTTTATATAAAAAATATCAAATATTAAAATCATTGAAATATTATTTGGATAATGTTAGTCGTTATGTTGAAATTAACTATGATTAAAACGTTTAGTCTTATATCATTGTTTTGATATAAGACTTTATATGCAGAATTGATTTTTTAAAAAATGAAGCTTAAAGAAAATGTAACCATAATATAAGAAGCATGAGCTCTCTAAATTTAAACAACTTATCTATAAAAGAGTTACAAAATATTGCTAAAAAAGAATATGATGAAAAAAAAAATTAAGGAAAGATAAAAAGAAAGAGAAACTTATAGCAGTACATCAAAAGCTACAAAAGCAAAATGAAAAATTGCGACAAGAAAAACCTAAAATAAAATCTAAACCAGAAAATAAACCTAAAACAAAGTCTTTTGATGAATATTTTCAGGAATGTATTAAAAACCAAAAAATTCCAAAAGATACTCCTCCTTATCTTAAAAAGCTCTTGAACGTGCTTTGAAAGAATATAATGTTGAGCCCTTGGTAATTTTGCTGAAAAGTATGTAATTGATGGAAAACCAAAAATTATACCATTTGGATATTAATGCTCTTAACCCATAACCCCTTAGATAAAAGCAAGTAACTAGACCAGAATTATTGTGCGGAAAAGGGGTAAGGCAAGAAGTCAGGCTCCAAATGTGGACAGCAGGTCATATATTGCGCATGACATATTGGTGTAATACACCAATATGTAACATCTTGGTGTAACAGTCCGCTAGGGGCTGTAACCCCCCAGGATTGTGAGAGAGGATAATCCTCTGTAGGGGGTGATAATCCCTCAGGTTAGTGACAGGTGATAATCCTCTGTAGGGGGTGATAATCCCCCAGGATAGTGAGAGGTGATAATTCTCTCTAGGGGTTGATAATCCCCCAAGGTTGTGGGTGGAGGTGATAATCCCCCTTGGGTACTGGAGAGGTGGAAAGACCTGTCTAGATGTCTAATTCCCCGCTTTAAGGAGTAACAAGAGTCTATGGGGCAAAGTGTGACCTTTATGGGAGCACTTCATCCCGAACCCATGCTTATTAATTGCCAACAACTCTCAATACAGATATCATTACTAATTTAAGTTAGAATTGCGTGCCTGCTGCCCGTAAGGAAAAACCCCCAATTATTTTCGAGGGAAACCTGAACCCTCCCGAAAGCAGAGCCAGACACTTAACATAAACCTCGAGGGAGAGAGGTTACACGAAAATATATTAATACAAGTTGTAAGTAAATGACAATTAAACTTTTATCAACTTAATAATCAAAATAAGGCCCAAAGTAACTAAGTGCACAAGCATGTTGGGATGCCTGGTAGAATGATCCCTCTCAGTAGAAATCTCTCTTCTGTTCTGCTATTTATCTTCTTGATAATTGCCAATTGATTCAAAGTGTAAACAACAAAGATCAGTAGTTCTTATGACTGTGAAAAGTATAAGGAGCTTCTTAAATTTTTAAGCAAGAGAAAAGACCTCATATATAAAACCTTAAGAAAACCAGCTGAGAGAATCAAGCAGGGATAAGGGAGGGTGGGATGGGAGTTTGTTCCACGAAGAGAAGAATATGAAGTGCTATTTTGTTGAGCTAGGCGCGAAAATATAGGCATCAACTGTTCATGTGATAGCTGGCATCTAATGTACCAACTAGCATCAAATGCTCTTTTATATTTTAGAATCAGCATTTCATCTTGAAGCACAATTCATTCAAAAGAAAATAATACGTGCAGCGTCAAATAATATTTACTTTTAAGTGTCAAGTTGAAGGAGAGTCTATTACTTCCTGGAGCCATTTGTTCAAAAGGTGGATAACCTCTATCCAAGGGATACCTAACGCAATTGGTTTCCCTAAAATTTATCCGCTGGACAGTGATTTATCCGGTGAATAGCTATATCCAGCGTTTAAACAACCGGTGCCTGAACTCTTAGGGTTGTCTAGTACTAACTTTGGTGTTCTTTGTTTCGCATGTAGCGTTCTCTTGCCTGTGCGAGTAGAGGTTTCTCTCTTAGCCCTGATGTTCCCTTCATAGCTCAAGGAGGGAGGCGTATGCACCCATTTGCTAGGCTCTTGTTCCCGAGGGTTCAGAGAATGAGACATGTAAGGGTGTGTTCCTTTCGGCGAATCCAAAAGCGGATTTTTGATCCAAGATTTGCCAGATTTCTCGGTCGAAAGGAACGTGAAATCCGAAATTGGATTTGTAACCTTGGTAACCTTTCGCCAACGCGTGCAATATGCACGACAGCCTCTCAAAAAATGACGTGTTTTCTACTGTTTGACAAATTNAAATTGGATTTGTAACCTTGGTAACCTTTCGCCAACGCGTGCAATATGCACGACAGCCTCTCAAAAAATGACGTGTTTTCTACTGTTTGACAAATTATGCGATTATACCGTGCAGAATTTAGTGGTCGGCAGTTCGAATAGCGAAGATGGAACATATAAAACAGACGAAGAAAGAAGCGCATTAAAATTGAAAATTATCTAAAGAATGTCGGCCAGTTTGATCCAGTTCCATAGCTCGGATTTTTTTTATGTAGCACGATCGAATGCCTGTCGCGTCTACAAGCGAGTTTGTAGTTACATTGCAGTTCATTTGTTACTTTTACTTATTTCTGCAAGCAATCTTTAGAGACAAATGGTTAGTATATGGTTATTTTAATGTACCAGGAACAATCTTCTAATGTTTTCAGATATTTTGCGGCAAATGACAGCAACGAGGAAACTCTACGGCCTCTATGGGAATCCAACTGGAAATACCGCTGGATCATCTTACTAATTTCGGATCCACTGTGAATGGAACAGCGTAGATCACTAATCCGTTAATCTGGATTTGGATTCTTCGGATTTCAAATCCACTGAATCCTTTTTCAAAAAGGATTCACCAGATCAAAAATCCGGATTTCGATTTGCCGAAAGGAACGCGAAATCCGTTTTTGGATTCACCGAAAGGAACACACCCTAAATGTGTGGCGTTCTTGCTTTGCAGCACTTTGTCTTGTTTCACCGATTAAAGAAAGAACGACGCATGTATTATACTCGCGTACTTTCCTTGTTTCACAGGGCTCTTGTCTCGTTTCATGCCTTTAGCGTGTTTGTTTCGACTCGTGGCTTTAAGTGTGCCAGTCTCGAATTCGACTCGATTTAGGACCGGGGGACTCAGGGCTTTAAAAACGAGTTATGTTACGTATGTGGCTTGCTTGTTTCGACTTAAGGCTTTTAGAACGAGTTATGTTGTAAACGTAGGCTCCGAGATCGCAAAGTAATTCAGTTTTAAATTTGTTTTGTTCTTTGATAGTTTATTTGCACTGCTTTTAAGTATCAATATCTTGAAAATGACTGCAGACTTAACTACACTGCTTTCACAGCCGGGTAAAAACGGAGAAATTCGATAAAAAAGCCGGCCTCTAGACATATTCGTATTATTACTACGCATAATCATTTCTATTCATTTATCACTTAAATTAAATATATTTGTTTATTTATTTACGTCCAACAGGGATTTCTTAGCGCGGTGGGAACTTGGCATGGTTACTATACCTGGCCTGGTTTTATGTATGGCGGGTGGACTGGGTTGCCGAGCAAAAACCTAACGACAAAACAAAATGGAAACCCTGATCAGTTTATTTTATTTTTTTTTGGTGGCCAAAATCTGAAGTTTACTCTGATTGGTCCATAAACAAATACGAAAGAAACAGTTCCGTTTTTGACTGGCAGAAGATAGCCATTAAATTCCGAAAGTGACGTTCAAAAAATGGCGCTAATTCCCAAAGGTAAGGACAGAATGCTTCGTGAATTACGCCACGTTTGAATAATGGTCTACAATAATTCTGCATTGTGGCCTGTGGCTGCAGGTACCCTTGCTCCTTATTGGAAAAAGGGAAAAAATAACGGAGGAAGCGCAAAATGAAAATAGGCGAAGAGCTGGACGATTATTTGCGCTGTTCACCCTGCCTATAGGCCCCCTGCATGCTATGTGCTCAAAGAAGAAGTGCTCCAGAGCGTGCGCGCTCTCGTGGAGGAGGAACGGAGCGAGTCTTTTTTTCTATAACGTTAACGAAACGAATTACGTATACAGGGCTCAAAGAACTGATCATGAGACTTTAAAGACCTGGAGGAACCTGTCGGCCAACTACTGACAACAAGTTCTATACATGAAGAGCCCGGTCCAACCCTGTGACAACCATTTAAAAGAAAGATTTCTTTCCCTTTTGTTTTTGTTTGTTTGTCTGTTTTTATTTGCCATCCGCATTTCTCGTTTTCTCCTTCTTACTTATTGTTTTCTTGCTATCCGCATTTTTTTCTATCCCCCCGGCATTTTTCCCTCCGCAGGTATGCGGTACGCGTTTTACAGACACTCCCTGACTGGATGGAATTACTTTAATTAGTAAAACAGCGACAACAACAACAAGCACAAGACTGGAAAAGAACAAGAAAGAATGGAACGCTTAAAATTTATTTCTTTGTGAGCTCTTTATTCGCAAGTTAAGCTCTCGCGGGATGTTTACACTTCACGCCATTAAATAATTAAGCTGACAACATCTTTGAACTTCTATGCCAAGAATAATATACTTGTCCCTAAAAAAGCAAGACGGTGATATGCCTTTAAATTCCGTTAGATATGCTTGCAGTACAATGTATCTACAGTTAAAATTGTTCGATATCAATAAGGCAAGATTTCTCCTTGAAAGCACGTTTTTCAAGGATGAATTACCGGCTGGAAAGCAAAGAAAACCAACTCGATCAACAGAAGACTTGTCTTAATGTTCCTTTTACAGCTTGCCTTACTTCTCTGATCTTCCAACAGTACAGTAAAGGGTTTAAGGATGAGTGCAAATAGACTAAAGTAAGAGTCCAATGAAGAGCAAGGTGAACGGATAAAGAGATCCGTCTTTGAACTGCTAAAATAAACACTATACCATGTGGCAGATAACAAAGAACCAATGTTACCTGCACCCACGGTGCACTGTACAACGCCTTTCTGTATCGTGCTATGTTCAATGGAATTGTTCGGCGCGGTTGTCCTTGAGCAACATGGTTCTGAAAATGAATATGATGACGCAGAGTGAAGCAGATTTTTATGTAAGCGAAGATTGTGGTGACTAGACACAAGCTAAACCTATGCGTTGATACCATTCGGTTATAATTGGATTCCAGAAGTCAGTAGATGTTCCGACGATGGACAAAATCCAAAAACCAATCACAGTTAAACGTGTTTTTTTTCAAAGTTACAACCTGTCTGCATCTGAGTCCCAACAACAAGGCGAGAAGTCTGTCCAAGCTTATTGCAGTCAATGTTAATAAAGATACTGAACACAAAACAGTGACTGAAAAATGTTGTCCTCGTATTGTGTAGTAGCAAATATCCCATCTTTCTTTCACCACAGAAATCCAATAAGTCACAGCTAATTAAGGGCTCCGAAATGATACGAACACAAAGATCAATTATCACTAGGTTACTATACAGCAGTTTGGACGGCGGATAAAGTGAAGTTTCCTTGTGTAGAGCAACTAGGATCAGAGTGTTCCCCAGAAATGCAGTGATGGAAAGAAAAATATTTAGAGCTGAAAGGAGTATAAGTTCGCTCTCTACACCTCTGACAAATTCAGCGGAGCAGAACAGTTCTTGGACAGTTTTATGGTTTTCGACTTCAGTGAAATTTTTCAGGGCCATTTTCCTCTTCTCCTCTTCGGCGCAGTGACCTGGAAGTGAGAGTTTTATTTATATAGATTATTTTAATTTGGGTGAAAGCTGATATCATTTCGACATCTCTACAGTCAATTAAGACTATTTACCTTGTCGCGTATTAATAAATAATGATCAGAAGTAAGTTATAAAGTCATAAACGTGCAAAAACTATTANGACAAAATCCAAAAACCAATCACAGTTAAACGTGTTTTTTTTCAAAGTTACAACCTGTCTGCATCTGAGTCCCAACAACAAGGCGAGAAGTCTGTCCAAGCTTATTGCAGTCAATGTTAATAAAGATACTGAACACAAAACAGTGACTGAAAAATGTTGTCCTCGTATTGTGTAGTAGCAAATATCCCATCTTTCTTTCACCACAGAAATCCAATAAGTCACAGCTAATTAAGGGCTCCGAAATGATACGAACACAAAGATCAATTATCACTAGGTTACTATACAGCAGTTTGGACGGCGGATAAAGTGAAGTTTCCTTGTGTAGAGCAACTAGGATCAGAGTGTTCCCCAGAAATGCAGTGATGGAAAGAAAAATATTTAGAGCTGAAAGGAGTATAAGTTCGCTCTCTACACCTCTGACAAATTCAGCGGAGCAGAACAGTTCTTGGACAGTTTTATGGTTTTCGACTTCAGTGAAATTTTTCAGGGCCATTTTCCTCTTCTCCTCTTCGGCGCAGTGACCTGGAAGTGAGAGTTTTATTTATATAGATTATTTTAATTTGGGTGAAAGCTGATATCATTTCGACATCTCTACAGTCAATTAAGACTATTTACCTTGTCGCGTATTAATAAATAATGATCAGAAGTAAGTTATAAAGTCATAAACGTGCAAAAACTATTAACTAAACGTAAAAAAAAAAAGCTCACAGGGCCAAGAAAGGTCGAGCAAAGTTGTCTCGGTACTTTTTAAATCTAACTGACCGAACTATGATGAGCCAGGTGTTATGTCACAGGTGAAACTTAATTCCTATTTCAATTGGCTTTTTTCTTTTTTCATGTCCCCTTTATCATTTTTCTAAACATGTTCATTACAATCTGGTGTATATGCGCCACGTACTGACCACGCGTACGGTTCATTGAAAATGACTGTAAAAGGATATCTACATGTTTACAACAATTAGCACTCAATTAGGGTAAAGGGAAATCGCGGGAAAACGTCATGACCATCTCAGTGCAAGTGCTTTGACGCGAACATTTTATTGGCTAATTCTTCTGTAATTATCACGCCTGTAATTATCCGACGATCCGTGTTTCAAACAAAAACAAAAGAGATGAGCTTTTTTTGTTCTTCAAAGCTTTAGTCAGGGTTTAGCAAAAACAATGTAGTCAATGTCAAGCTGACACCGAACTTTAATATGCCTGTTGAAACTATATAGCTAACTCTCTGACAATTTTAATGAGTTTTCAGTGGTAAAGGAAGTCCTAACAGTCGGCAAACACAGCCAACTGTGTGGGCGGCGGTAACAGTTTCTCGTCTGTTATTTATGTTGTTTATAAACTGAGATGTAAAATGATAACTTCACCACTAACAACAACACTTGTTTCTTATAGCATGTTAATTCCGATACAAATACATTCGAAGCTTTCCTTGCGACCACTCTCGTTTTACAAGCGGCCAGCTCTAGTTACGACCAACTTTGTAAAACCCCATTTGAAATGTGACTTAAACACTTTGTTATGAAAAGCTCTCTTAAGCGACCACTTCTGCAAGCGTCCGTGAGCACTTTTAGGATTAGGTACCCAACAAGACTTTTCCTCGTAAGCGACCACTCAGAGTCTCACTCACAAAAATCAACCTTTAAATGAAACTGCACACTGCGCTAATGGTTCTTTGCTAAAGATCTTGTACAGTGCAGTATAAAGGTCATTTCCACTTAGCTCGCCTTTTTTTCTTTATGAATTATTGATGAGTTTCTGAAGCTCTCGTAAGCAACCACCCTCTATTGTTTTACCATTCGTTCGCTTACCTGAGCTTCGACTGTCATCTACTCTTAACTCTGGTAAATACGACGGCGACAGCTGCGTTGAAAATTAAAGAATGCATTCGCCCTGTACGTTTCAAGGCAAACTCCATCGCTCTTGTTCTATCTCGTTCAATTCTTCAATTGTCTAAAAAGCGAATTTTTCTGTTGTGGAGTTTTCAAAGGTATATAATTATCTAAGTTCGGAAAAATAACGAAATGTTCTCTATAAAACGTGAGATTAGGACGTTTTACGTGGTACTCGTGCAGCGAAGGTAAAGAAATGTTCAACAACTTTGCACGTAAGGTGTACGTGCAAAGTTGTTGTTTTGGTAATCTAAGCCTATTAATTACTTAGTTGCCATTCTCGTTGCCTTTGTCGTTCGGCTTAAGCTTTCTAACATAAGGGAGCTTTGGCAACGACGACAGGGTACCCGATAATGGCTCCTGGTAGTAGGCAATGTATTATAATCATTGTACGAATTCTCCTTACAACTAAGGCTCCTTCCCCTGGTTAGGGAACTGGCCATTATTAGGAAACGGATTTCGTTTTGTTGAGCTTAGTCTATAAACAACCGAGTGTCGGAAGACTGAACAATAGAAACTGTTTGAGATGTTCTTCGCAAAGGACGAAATGTCATAGAAACTGAACGATAGTTTTCGCGGGAAAAATGAAGATCACTGCATTAAAAACAAGCAAATGAATAAAAATCGCGATCGACGAAGCAAGGGCAGGAGGGGAGGTGAGGTTGGGAGAGTTCTTGCGTAGCATGTATTTTTTTGGTTCTATTTGCATGTTTTTCCCCAGTTTTTCCTTGGCTTGCATTCTATATTACAAAGTACAATGGTTGCTTTTTTTGCAAAACTGTCTATATTATGTGCTCATGAAGTGAATTTTTGTTATCGCTTGCATGACACCTGTGTTAGACCTCCTGGTTAGGCAAAAATACAAAAGTTAAGGTGTATTTAATGCCCAGTTTATCTTCTTAGATACGAGCATTCCTAATTTTTTAAAAGGCAATATTTTTGCCCTTCAAAATGGTACTTCAAACTGGACTGACGACCGATGTGCTATTAATATAACCTTGGTTCTACCCTGAATGGCCACCTGTCATTTCTCTCAATGCTTTTTCGTCGCCATTACGTCCGGTGTATAAACAACAACTGATGTACAAGGCAGCAATATACCGATTACTCTAAGCTTTTGTTAGCCTTACTACTCAGTTACAATTTAAACTGGCGATAGACGTAACCTTAAGTAAAGATACAAAAGCCAAACGAGAGCACCAAAAATGAGATCACGACCAACCAAATACTGATTGTAATGAATAGCGACATGAGTATAAAGGGTCGGCCAGAGGGATAATGGAATACCAGAATACCCGAAATAAATCTTTCAATATACCAAAAAATAAACTAAAACTTGTGTAAAATACCAAAATTAAGAAAACTACGGTATACTTTATACCCAAAATTGGTCAAGAGCGATGAAGTTAGGAGTGTGAGGCCTAGCTTTTAGCACTCCAACACCTGTGGTGCAACGAGCCTTGTTTTGGGGTTCGAGACAATCATTAGAGCTCCTCAGTCATTCAGGGAGAGGGAGATTTTTTTTTTGAAGGGAGGGACCTTTGTCAGTGCAGGTTCCACTAGGATCGATGTCTTAAGCTAACCTTAAGATCCGGTCGAGTTTTAGCTGTAGCTCTCATGTATTCTCTATTACGAGGTCGATATTTAACAAGCAAAATGGAAAATGAACATCATCTTAAGTTAGTCAAACTTCAGAGAAAAAAACCTCTGCTGTTTAAAAGGAAATGGTTATTTGTCGAAAATACTTTCATACCTCGCCTAGACAGTCCTCCAAAGAAAATTAGGGAAGTTTTATCAAATTTTATTGAGAGAAATAGGTTTCAATATAGTTAAGTGATTGGAGATTACTGAGTCAAAAGATCGTAAAAGGGAAAGATGGAATTCATTGGATACATTCACAGGGGAAAAAATGGAGATTTTAACAATTCAGGTAAAACCAGCCTCACTTTCACACTTTCAGGAGCCTCCCTTTTCTAGGAATGTGGATATACTGTTTTTGACCACATTTTCGATAACATCTCAAAAAACAAGGATCGTCGAAGGGTTGCCTCTTCCCTTCCTCTACCAAAGGGGAAAAAATTGAAAAGTACCTGGGCGGCTGGTGGGTTCTTTTAAGAACAGTTTGCAAAATGAAACAATGCATGCACATATACTATCAGACAACAACCTTTAAAATTTCGCAACCATTTTTTGTTGTTGCAGTCAACCCAATGAGGCTTCGTCATTATTAGTTTATTGTTTGTCTTATTAATGCCTGGATAGTTTTTGATGCAAGCCATCCAGTAACGAACTCCAACGATTCAAGTCCAGTGCGATGCAAGGAAGGAAGTTTCATGTTTCAATAAGTGTGAGGAGCATTGTGAATGCAAGAAAGGTAAACTTACCAGTTGTTACCGCGTGAGAAAAGATTTCACCAAAATGACCATCGACGATAGACTTTACAAGCTGGCATCGGTCCATCCTGTTTTTAAGAAAGATTTCGAGAAATTCATAGATCTCCACGGCACCGCCGGAGATCAAGAACGAACTTTTTTCCTTTTCATCGGTGTTTTTGGTTGAGATGAAAAACGTTCTACGCAGAATCGACTGTCGTGTAACTTTACCCTACTGGGACTGGAGCAAAAACACTCAACATTAGTGGAGAGGAACTGGAGACAAAGACCTTTGGAACCCTGGTGATCATGGTTTAGGAGGAGATGGAGCCGGATAATGATGACGTGTCTGGAGGAGGATGTTTAAAAAGTGATTTCACGAAAGTCAGCCTTCGCTACAATAGTGATCACGTGAACAAAACGTTATCGCTGCCCCTGGAAGATTTCATAGAATTTGAAGAAATTATCTGTTTAGACTATAAGGCTTGTTGCCTCTCTTCGCAATCGGTGGCACAGTGAAAGATTAAAATAGCAGCAAATGCCCCAGAACTGCATCTTCACCATTCATTTGTGGACAAACTGTGGAATCAATGGCAATATAAAGGAGAAGAATAGAAAAAAGGTCTACTTCTCAAGCATACCCTTGAAACTTTTTGGATCGAAGTATTGTGGCTGGAAATTAATTGATTCTAGTATCTTTCCTGGTCAGGTGAAAGTTCTTTACGAAGAGTGAAAATAGAAAAAAGTTAGACGGACATGAACAACTTTGACATTGAGTAATGTGCCGAAATCAATCTGTTCTGGACTATGATTTTCGACCATTCACTTCTTAACACTGAGTTAGAACTTACATGTATTATTTATCATGATATAGGACACCTCATTTTATGTAGTAAATATGATTAGCCTTACTGCTAATTTGCAGATTTCCAATAGGTGGAATTAAGGTAAAACATTATATGGCAATATTCGATATTTGCCATAGTATGGCAAGTGTTATAATCTAAACATTTTGTTGTACTGGCGGCTGGAGTGGTTTCGTTCGTCTCTTGAGGAGAACAGTCCCTGAACGTAAGACAAAACCACTAAACCTTTGCCCATAATCTGTGCAGTTCACACAAACGCCATCTATCCGATCGAATCCTATTCCCATAACGAGCACAACTGACATCTTGAGTTAAAGCTACATTGTGCACCATTATCACAAACTGAGGATAAGCGAAAGCTAAAGA